GCCTCTCAAATGTTGCTGGAGCATTACTGAGCCTGAATGGCAGCACTCGGTATTGCCAGAGACCTTGGCTATAACTAAATGCTGTTTTGGGTCTATCTGCTTCAGCCATTTTTACTTGATGGGTTCAAATTAAAGTGACTTTCGGAGGTGTTAAAGTTCGACAACCTTTGAATTAACAAACACTCCACGATTCGTCTTTTGATATAGTTTCTAATCTTAAATGCTATTTTGGCTGATTTACAGATCATTTGATGATCAATAATCCCATGCTGTAGAAAATTAGCATTATTTATCCGACCATTTCAAACATTTTTTTGGTTGTTGTTCTACGAGCCTTGTATCTAAATTTCTACCCGTTTCACCAACACGAACTTTTTTGCAAGATTTACAGACACCATCTTTTATCTTGAGGTGCAGACATTTTTAAAGATGTTAGGATATTCATAAAACTTTGAAATTGTCGTCTCTCAGGCATTTCTGTAGCGCCACAATAGTAGAACTGTGGTTGATGATTAGTATTTTCTTTTAATTTTTCACAGATTGATGTTGTTCGTTGCATCAATCTCTACCAAATGTTGACATTTATGTATTATCTTTTAATTTTCACAGATTGATGTTGTTCGTTGCATCAATCTCTACCAAATGTTGGCATTTATGTATTATCTTTTAATTTTTCACAGATTGATGTTGTCCGTTGCATCAATCTCTACCAAATGTTGACATTTATGTATTATCTTTTAATTTTCACAGATTGATGTTGTTCGTTGCATCAATCTCTACCAAATGTTGGCATTTATGTATCTTCTTTTAATTTTTCACAGATTGATGTTGTCCGTTGCATCAATCTCTACCAAATGTTGGCATTTATGTATTATCTTTTAATTTTTCACAGATTGATGTTGTTCGTTGCATCAATCTCAACCAAACGTTGGCATTTATGTATTATTTTAAGTTTTATAGTTCATGGACGAAAAAATATTCTGCTAATCTTAAATTTTCTCAAAGGCTACGTTAATCTTTGTTTTCGGCCACAATGAACACCTTTTAAAAAATAACAGTACAACAATAATTAGTTTCTAAAGAAGAAAAACAGTGGTAAATATGTTTATTTTTACCAAAAGAAAAATCAATACTGAAAGAAGTTGGTCAAGAGAACCACGAGATATTACAGTTAGATGCAAATAAGAAACTGAGAACGAAGTATTTCCAACAAATTGCTAGCTATTATAACAATATCATAACGGATTTCTACCATAAAAAACATGGAAATACAGAAAACTATTATTATAATGCCATTATCTTCTCACTTTCAAAGGAAAAAATAAATTCCAAAATGTATAAAACCAAATTTATATATCTATAAAAATCGACTGTAACAAGGTATATCGATTTTAGTTTTACGCATTTTACTTCTTTTAAGGTTGTACTTTTTGTGTGTGATTTGTCGAACACTTACGCACTGTTTGTTTTGTAGTTAAGCACAAAGCTATACAATGGGTTATCTGGGCTACGCCCACCACGAGTATCGAAACCCGATTTCTGGCATTAAAGTCTACGGACTTACTGCTGTGCCACTGAGGGGCGAACACTTACGCAGTGTTTGCTGAACTTTGAAGCAAAAAACAAGTTATAAATAAGAAATGATGTCACAACTTGGGTAGCCTACATAGTCCAGACGGTTTCGAATGACTTACTGGCAGTGAGGAACAAAAACGGATGAAAATATTTACTAACGGAAGGAGAAATTCAGTCTTTTCCTTTTAACTTATCTATTTATCACCAGTAAAAGCTACAAATAATAAAAAATACTTCATACTATTCAAGTTTCAAGTATATAAAACAGATTTTAGTGAAAAAATTAAAATGAACCTCGCTGTTAGAACGAAAGTAACAAAAATATTTCTATATGGACTTTTCCCAACTATTGCTAAATGACAAAGTGGAATGAAAATCTTGCCAACTATCTTCTTGAATGCTCTTGTTCCAAGTAATATATCTAATACTTTGTTTCAGGACATTAACATAGCATGAACTTTTTCTTGTACACACTAAAAACTTTTCATATAAAAGCATGCATATATAACACTGAAAACTTTTCATATAAAAGCATGCATATACAACACTGAAAACTTTTCATATAAAAGCATGCATATACAACACTGAAAACTTTTCAT